CACTTCTTCTCCATTCATCATAATGACTTGGGCCTTTTTTGTTCAATGTTACACTTACTACAGACATTACATACATAAGTGTGTTGTAAAATATTTGAGAATATTGTTTTTATTCCCAGAACACACCAATACACGGTAACAAATATATATTTTATTTTTCCCACAAAAACAATGGGAGATATATTTTGGTCTTTTATGCTAAAGCTCTGATTGCTAATTGTAAAACTGTGTGACGGGTGTTTGCCCGTGTGACGAGTCAGTGTGAATATTTGAATGGAAGTGTGTTCCTTGTGAAAACAAGAGATTTTCTGCATGAAAATTGTGCCAATTGTAGTGAATTTGTGAGTAGTAATTAGCAGTGGTGGAAAGAGTACTGAAAAAACATACTCAAGTAAAAGTACCATTACATTCCAAAAAATGTAGTGTGAGTAGAGTAAAAAGTACTTGTCCAAAAATCTACTTGAGTAAGAGTAAAAAAGTAGCTTATTTAAAAGTACTCAAGAGTAGTGAGTAGTGAGTACTGAGGTGCGGATTCTAACCCTTATAATAAACACTGCACTACAATTTATAAATTAAAAAAAAACCACATACTGTAATTCAGATTATATTTTGTTCTTTGTAAGAAAGATTGAAGAATATCTATCATCCATCTTTTTAAAATGCATCAAATCAGTACACTCATCACCATTTAAATCATAATTTAAATGGTGGGGGGGGGGGGGGCATTTAAAATTAAGCGAAAAGCCACTGGGCCTGAGCATGCTATTGTTGCACATAAAATATCAATATTCATAACTGTGCAAAGAATTCAAAAACCTTTTAAAACGCATATGATAGTTCAGCATCACACACCAAGAGAAGGGTTAAATAGAGAGATTAAAAAATACCCAATTTCTCTCCAAAGTGGTACCAATGTTAGTGTTTTGATAAATGAGAATCACTAATATTATCAGATTACCTCAACTAATGCACTGAAAAAGGTAAGATAGTGCTAACACTAATTACACACTTTTATTCCATGCTATTAAATATGTTACAATTTAAACGTAAATGCATTGTTCTAGAAGGGTGGCATCATCCTTTACATTTTACACAGCTACATTTACTCACATTGTAATGCTGATAATATAATTTGTTAAGAAAATTGTGCATTAAATAGGGAATTTATATCCAGGAAACTTTTACAAAAGAAACAAACAAACACACTTTGTCTCTGAAGTCTCTGCGAAGCTGTTTTATCAGCAGCATCCACAAACAAACAAAAAAAAAGTTCAGCATAAAAAATGTTTTTGCGGAAGTGCACTTGCCAAATGAAGACGGATCGTATAATGGATCAATAAAAAAAAAACATTGTTTATTAACGAGTTGTGCTAATTTCTTATTAAGAAATGCAGTTCAAGTTAACGACATGGTGCACTGATTCTGAATGTGGTGGCATGGCATGGCGAGCGCGAGACGCGGCAGTGCACAGATCGTGACGCGCGTCTCTATAGTGAAGTAAATGAGCGGGAATTCACCGCATTATGAACTCGTCTCGCAATTCCCCCAACCTCAGACCAAATGTTAGGCCATGTAAACAGGCCAGCCTTTATAAATATCATATTAAGTAGAAATGTGAAATGTACCTTAGCATATTAGAGGGAGACGCTGATATCTGGATTGAATTGATGCGTGATGAATGCACTTCCACAGCAGTCACGAGTAACAGCAGGAATAGGCGGTTAAAGTTTTCTATGCTTAATTTGAATTGATGACAGTCACGAGACCGATTACTCGATCCAATCACGTTGATGGATAAAAATTAAATTAAAACAAGCATGTAACGAGTAACGGCCACAAACAGAAGGAAAATAGCGGAGAAAAAGTACCGATACATCACTTAAAATGTACTCAAGTAAAAGTAAAATTACACAATTTTAAACTTACTCAAAAAAGTACAATTTCTGAAAAAAACTACTTAATTACAGTAACGTGAGTATTTGTAATTCGTTACTTTACACCCCTGGTAATTAGAACTGAAATTTGAGTGTAAAGCAGGAATTGTGCTTGTAGTTCAGCAGAATTGGTTCAGGGGGTTGGTGAATGAGTTACATGTTGTGGTCATTGTGTCTCATGTACCAAAATTTGTGTGTAAACAATTGAGAAAAACTGTAATGTGCTGAACTTGGATTAGTGCCTTTAGTCAGTTTAGTCAGTGAGTCTGCGTTGCGACTTTATTCATGTGTCCGCATTCTCCACCATAATAAGTATTTCTGATCAATTTGGGGAATATGTATACAATAATTAACAATTAATAATTATTCACACGAGTTTGATCCAGATAAACTTTACATGATTAAATATCCTGAAAAGGAATGATATGTTCCCTGCATGTGCATTCATATATGTACTTAGGCAATTAACCACAAATGATTATAATAAATTGGATATGTAGACTATTTTACAGACAGGTTAAAATTAGCTCAATTGTATATCAATACTTAATCAAAGTGGATGATAATTAAAGGATGATAATTAAATATTAATATCAATTAGGTCTATCATTTATCATCTCAGGATAGTCCCTGTGGAATTAATTTGTGATCTGATAATCCATTTGTCCAACTGATCCTGTGATCTTTATCAATTCTCACACAGAAATCATCTCAGAGATTCGCAGTGAAGGCAAATTCTGGCCATGAATACAACCTTCCTGTTTTACAAAGATAGCCTGCTAGTTAAAGTAATTTTATACTTTTAAAGCCCGTAGCTTTTGATTGTGCATTGAAGGGACTTGTATATGAGCATGAAACTGTCAATCAAATGAATATAATGTATTTTAATAAATGGAAACTAGGTTATAGTTACTAACATTACAAGGAATAAAATGTATTTACAGACAATAACACAACAACAATGCAAGGAGAATGCATAAATATATATATATATATATATATATATATATAGAGAGAGAGAGAGAGAGAGAGAGAGAATCTGGAAGGATCAGTGGCAAATTACAGTAATACATTCTATCATTACCTAAGAGGCATCTTTGTCTGGAGGAGGCTAGGATTTCCAATGATACCACGCAGGCTTACAAACACAAAAGGAAAGCAAGTTTACATTCATTTTCATGAATACAGGCATTCAGAGTTTGTCTCTAGATACATCTTGAGAAATCATGATAATACTAAAATGACAATAAAACATGGGTATGCATGAATATTTAGTAATTTAATATTTCTTTTCAGAATTAGTCAAGTAACAGATTTCAATGAAGGAATGTCTGTTTATGTGTGTGCGTTTTTGGACAGAGCTTTCTGACCGCCTGGCCTGGCTCTGAGGAGATAGCGATCTGTTTGAGGCCTGACCCCCGGCTGTGTGTGTGTATGTGTGTGTGTGTGTGTGTGTTGTACAAAACGTTCCTTCTTGCTGGAAAGGGGGAAGGCTTGGTTTCAACTCAGTTCGCTAGTGTCAATGAAAGACATTAGGAACAGACTTCCTGGCACTCTCTGGTGAATTACTAGCGTGGAAGTCAAAGGTTAAAATCTTTTCAACTGTGGATTTGATAATCCCAACTGACACAGTCTAGATACCCTACATACTGTACATCTGTGCATCAGCAACACACACACACACACACACACACCATGCACACATACTGTAACTAACTTCATGTACAATAAAACAATAACAATAAAGATATTCTGTGTATAAAATGTAAGAGAGATAATGTAAATGTTTAAAAGTTACATGAAATCTTTATATCTATTGGAACATTAATGTGCTATACTTAACAATCACGTTCATGATTAGAAAAAAATTACTAATTATGGATGAGTTTAGTCTAAACATTATTATATTTGCAGGCCTGATAGTGAGGATTTCTGCTGACACTTCATCTGAGCTTCTTCCTCTGTTCCACCTTAAATTACAACTAAACCATCATTTAGCTGAATGATAAACCAACATTAATCATTCAATCATATTCATATAACATATCATATGTTTCTAACATGCATGCTAACACACACGCTGCTTTATTTAATTGTGAAGTTTAAGTCTCTTCCACCTGTATGAAACACATTTACACATGTATTTCTCCTCATAGACAGCAGTGAGACTCTTCTGTGGATCACCTGATGGTTTCTGCTCTTCTCATCTCCTTTTCACAGACTTAAACCATGATGGAAATCCACTGACATTTGCCGGTCGATCTTCATCTACACTGTAAAGTAGAACAGAAGAGAAAACAATCAGTGTTCAGTGGAACAAAGTGCAAATTAGTATATTTAAATTACTGTTTTTTTAAGGAAAAATAAGTTACAATGAGTTCCTGTGAAAAGATTAATTATTGACTTTACATGATCTTGGATATAGATATTTGTGTTTTTAAATATAATTCAAATATAAGTCATGTTGATATGTGTGTCTGTGTGTGTCGGTGCGACTCCTATTGAGTCTTTGTAAAGAAGAAACTGAGTGTACGGCCTATGGAATAAAACACAGGGAGCAAAGTCTAATTTTATTTTTGTTAAACACAAACCTTTAGTTAAAGCTGTTTGTCATCCAGTTTAAACATGTTTGTAGGCTCTTAGTAAATAACTGAGAGTAAAGTAAGTGTAGAGTAGTGTGACATGTTGCTTGTCACAGTAAAAACACACTAGAGACAGAGACATTGCTCATGTGAGCTGGACGCTGTGAGCTGAAGCTGGAACTGCACTGATTTTAGCAGGAGTGCAGCGTTTCCTACAATCTGACCAAGTCTGTTTCACACTCAAATGATTCACTTCTACTGACACAGTTCATAAAGCAGGTGTTGATGTATAAAGCTGTGACAGTGAGCTTTTCTTCTCTTTCCTCCTTTTGTGTTGAACATTTCAATAACATCACATTTTGTTCTCACACAAACCCTTTGTTGCAACAAATCTTAATGATAACTTCCTTTTGTGAATATCTGAAAGGTTTGTTCACATATCAGAGGTATATGAAGATCTCTTAAATATCTCAGTGATGTTTCCTCACCTCAGGACACAGTTTGAGTCTTGTAGCTTGTCTCTGAGCCGCTGCTTTGAGACTCTTATCTTATTGTCTCTCAGATCAAGCTCTTTTAAAAACTGCAGAGCTTTTGAGTTAGTCAAAGACTGAGTTAAAGAAGAAACATCTGTAATGCCACAGCGATGTAGACTAGAGAGAAACAGAGGAAGAGATTATCTTACAAACAAATCAAGAATGTAAAGAATTTTACACAAATATAATGTGAATTTAGACTCACTGATATATTGAGAATAAATTTAGTTTTAGTTTTTCTAAACCCAAAAAGTACACTGCTATAACCAGTGAAACAAAAGCCCTGGTGTCTTCAAATAAATAAACTTCAGTCACACTGTAATTGCTGTACAGTATAATGACACTAACTCTAGTTTCTCCAGCTTGAATTGTGGGTTCATCAGTAGATCACTGAGGTTTTTCACTCCAGAGTCTCCTAGTTTATTCCCGCTCAGGTCCAGCTCTCTCAGGTGTGATGGGTTTGATTTCAGAGCTGAAGTCACATCAGAACAACCTTCATCTGTTAGATCACACCAGCTGAACCTACATTAGGAGAGAGAGAGAGAGAGAGAGAGAGAGAGAGAATGAAGAAAATAAGAGACTCTTTATTCTGTCACATCATCTTTATCAGCAAATAAAACAGACAAAGGAAGAGAGATCTTTATTTCACCACATCATAAAATACTAAAGTGAAAATGTTTTTACAAATTAAAATGTGAATTTTTAAACAGTTGAAATGATTTAAAGCATTTTGATTCTTGTATGTGAATGTGACTGACCTCAATCTCTCCAGTTTACAGTGTGAATCCTTCAGTACGGCACATAAGTGCTTCACTCCTGAGTTTCCTAGTTTATTCCCACTCAGGTTCAGCTCTCTCAGGTGTGACGTGTTTGATTTCAGAGCTGAAGTCAGGATGAGACTCTGTTCCTCTGTAATACTGCAATAACTCAGACTGAAGAAAGAGAAATAACAATAGTTCACATCTATGACGATCATCTTATTGAAGGGCTACAGCAGCATTTAGTTTCCAATAGTCTGTTTTAAAACTCATTCACACTAGTTCTGTGCGCTGGAAGACACTGTTTCTTCTCTTTGTGTCTGCAGAGAAGAAACTGTCTGCGTGTACACAATCAGTACATTTTATCAGATGTTGGGAAAAAAAATACTATGTAGATAAAATATCACATAAACATGTGAGCAATAGGCGAAACCCAGAAAGTGTACTGCAATAACCAATGAAACATAAGCCCTGCTGTCTTCAAATAAATAAACTTCAGTCACACTGTAATTGCTGTACAGTATAATGACACTAACTGTAGTTTCTCCAGCTTGAATTGTGGGTTCATCAGTAGATCACTGAGGTTTTTCACTCCAGAGTCTCCTAGTTTATTCCAGCTCAGGTCCAGCTCTCTCAGGTGTGACAGGTTTAATTTCAGAGCTGAAGTCACATCAGAACAACCTTCATCTGTCATATCACAGTATCTTAACCTACATTACCAGAAAGAGAAAGAGAATGAAGAAAATAAGAGACTCTTTATTTTTTAAAGTCACATCTTCTTCATCTGCAAATACAACAGAGAGAGGAATAGAAATCTTCATCTTTATTTCACCACATCACAAAATACTAATGTGAAAATGTTTGCAGAAATATAATGTGAATTTAGACTTATTGTGAGATATTGAGAACAAAGTGTTTTAGTTTAAACTTTTGATTCTTGAATGTATGTATATATATATTTATTTGCATGCTTTGGGAGCGTGTGATTGGCCCTAATGTGTGGTAGAAGTGTGTTCTCGGAGTGTTTGATTGGCTGAATTTCAAGTAGAAGCATGCTTTTGCACATAACACACTATAGACTTCTTTAAAGGGGTCATATAATGCCATTTTTGTACAAGTTAATATGAATGTTTAGGGTCTAAATGAAAACTTTGTAATATACTTTTTTTTTTTTAATTCTCATTAGTATTTGTTTCAGTGCATATGCTTTAAATAATAAACCCTGCCCCTCTGTTCTGCGGGCGTGAACACACGTGGAGTGTTGCCTTGACAACAGTTGAAGGTTTTGGGAATGGCAGCGGGAGTCTCTGAGGACACATCTGTGCAACCGTATCAGTTTGAACCGGAGTCGCACCTAAACAAGATGACGGCCACAAAGAAGTTCAACATTTAAGGCTTGAGGACGTTTCTGAATGGTTAGTTAATGTAATGTTACTTTGATCAAATTTGTATGCACTGGCACGGTATAGTAGTGAGATACGAACGCTGTGTTTACTGATGTATACGTTAGTTCATTGACAGATTGACGTCACAACTAATGGTAATGAAAAACTTTTTCCCGCGATTTGCAAAGATTAATACAACTTTAGGTGCAGAGGGAACATAAATAATTGGTGCCCATTATTTTTTCAGGAGCAGCTTAGCAAAACCAGCTTTATACTGACCCTCGTTTTATTTACAGTATAAAGCAGTCTGGTGAGAAATGATTCGCGCAAACAAGAAAGTATTTACGTTGATCGTGAGGAATATTCCCTTCGTAAACAAAACTCAGCCACTGTGTCTTCAGCGGTTCAAATTTAGGAACATCAAAATGATTTCTGAGTTTGTTATATCACCCAAGAACAGAACAACACAAGTCTTGTTCTGCTCCAGTGTATCAACAATGACGGACTTTAGTCTATGATGACAGCTCGCTCAGGGCGGGTCTGTGTTGAAACACTTCTGTCAATCAACAATCGTGGGAGGAGCGTGTGACGTCACGCGGTCGAACGGCTCGATTAGAGACAGGGGAAAACATATAAGAGATTAAAACAAAACCACTGGCTGGATTTTTATCATTATTTAAATGATGGTTGTGTACAGGCACTGACAACATACATTGCAGTACAATCAACTTGTAAAAGTGCATGTACCCTTATATGACCCCTTTAATTCAAAATTAGGCTGCATAATTTAGATCAGCCAGAACACGTCCCATAAATTCTGATGTACTTGGTACATCATAAGAAGGATGGTGCCTCATCGACACGACAACCATCAGCACTGATCCTCAACAACTCGTCTCCATACGGGCGTGATTACTTCGACTTCCAAACAGATGGAAATGGACAAATACTCTTAATGTTCCAATCCAAATTTGACTGGTAATGCTGCCGGAATCACACACTGTTCCTTCGTTGGGCAGAGGAGATCTGGCCCCCGACTGTGTCTGGTTTCTCCCAAGGTTTATTTCTCCATTCTCAGGGTTGCCAACTTTTGAGTTTTGCTTGGAGTGGGATTTTTTTTTGGGGGGGGGGGGGGTCACAAGATCTTGTAGGGCACAATGTATAGTTTGTCCAATTTTAATTTGGCATTAGGCTAACAGTTTTACTGATTAAAAAAAACAGTTTTGGGAGTAAAGTTCATAAATTATTATTCTTTCCAATATGATTTAGTAAAACTATATTGAGACCTCTGTCCTTCTAGGGGGCTTCGGGGGCATGCTCCCCTGGAAGAAAATTTTGTACATTTTAAGGTTAAATGCATCAATCTGGTGCACTTTGAGAGCTCAAAATTAAGAGTTTTAACCGGCTTCAAATCATGAACTGTGACATTCAACAAAGCAAAAGCCTCGACTTGTACCTGGACATTAAAGAGGGATCAGACATCTTTTTTATAAAGTCAATGATATAAAGACTTTATGATATAAAGTCTCAGTCTCTTTTAGGATGCCAAACGATTATTATAATAATGTAATAATGATTTATATAATTATTCCTATTACGTAAAATCCATATAGGCCTAGTCTATAAATGTAGGCTGCTGTATAAATGAAAATGAATATTTCAAAAGTATATTTTACTTACAATATTGTATAGGAAAATTACAATAGTTTTGTCCTAATTTCTTCACTTGCAAGAAATAAACCCTTGAGCTTTTATTTAGGAGAAAACACCAGATGAGAAGAGAGAGTAAAAGGCAAAAGCCGGATTCGAACTCGGGTCGAACGCGTCAAAGTTTGCTATCAGCACCTCACGCCCTCGCCCTACACCACTGTAGATATTTAGTGAAAGATATCTTTTTTGCTAAAAAGACAGGCACGTAGTGCAAATGTACGCTCTCAACTCACGTTCAAGGTCATAGGCAGCGCAGCGTCTCTCTGTGCATCGCAAAAGCCCGTGTTGACAGTTTGTTAATATAAAGCGGGAGATTACCAGATACAGTATTTTGCTCGTGCCCTGTGGGTGTTGTAGCCTAGGCAACTGTATCACGTGCCGTTTGAACTGACGCGCTACTGCGTTCTGTCACATTTAAAAGCGCCAAAACGCTCCATATCAGGAGTAAACTTCTCTGTAGTCTGTCGGTGTCAGTGTCATCTTTTTCCGCGATTTTTCTCTGCGTCCAATCAGTAGTTAAGAGCCTGAACTTGCTTATAGTAATACAAAAAAAAATAAAAAATACAGCCCAGAAGAATGTCTAATTTAGCGTTGAGATTTCTATTTTGAGCGTGAGACCGTGAGATTGAGGCTGAATGCGTGAGTGTCACGCCAGATGCGTGAGAGTTGGCAACCCTGCATTCTGTCCCTGATGGAGTTTTGGTTCCTTGCCTCTGTTGCCTTGGCTTTTGGCTTGCTTAGTTGGGGACATTTAAAGGTGGCCCAGAATTTTTTTTTTTATTATTATTATTATATAATGTTTCCTGGGTTGCCCTTATAATGTTAGTATGTTTTTTTAGATCAAAAATAGTCATAATTTAATAATAAAAGGCATTTTTCCTAGCCTGATTTTAGCCTCTGCTTTGAACACTCTGATTGAAGGGGCGTGTCTGCATTTGTGTAACCTGCCTCTGGTGTGATTGGCTTACAAGCTTGCATATGAAATAGCTATGTATTACATATGAAACTCTCTCGAATAATTTTACTATTTTAGGTTTTTACTATTACAGCTATCGAGATTAACAAATCTTGAAATGTTTTTGAAGTATTTAGATCTATTCCCATCACATAAGTTGCTGTGATGAGCATTGAGCAAGCAGAGGACAGTCTGTCGATTGTGAGAATGAAGATCTTATCATTTTAACGCAGTTTCTGCTCTCTAATGCTTTCACCAATGCAGACACGATCATATAAATACAGTAAGAGCTTTGTTGTTCAGTGTAATGTGCGTCATTGATTCATAACAAGTTTGGCAAGTGTCCAAATAAACTCGCGCTGTGGAAAGATTGTTCTTTGATCGCTTTCGGTAAATAATTTATTCACAATTTAAATACGTTTTTTTTCCATCCTACTAAAATAAACGATGTGAAGGTGATATTTTAGTCACTGGCTTGACTTACTGATGCATAAACAGTATTGAACGATTTTGAGAGAAAGATTACCTGTCTGAACTTGAACAACAATTACACATCAGAAAGTGTTGCTTGGTAGATCGATCCAAGGTCAGCTCTTGGCCCAAGTTGAGGGAAGCTTCTGACGCTCAGTGTGTGAGCTGTGCAGCTGCAGATGCGTTTTACATATAGGCTTCAGTAAATCGAGGAAAATGAGTTTGCGTACTGCTACATCGAGAGGTTACTTGTGTGGACTTGAGCCAGGTATCCCAGAATGCATCTCGCACCAACCAGCACTCATCAATAGCAGAGGACAAAACCCACGTAATATCAAAATACTACTGTTATTGTGTCATGAAATGTAATTTTAAGAGTGGTTCAGGCGAGAATGTAGTTGTTTAAAGCTCAAATCTGTGGTTTATTTATAAAAATAGCACCTATTTGAAAAATATATCTGACGTTTCCGGAGTTGTGACTTCTAAGCCTTAACCGTCGCCCAGCACTCATTTACCCCAACTATAACATCTTTTCCTCGGTTACTGCTTCTGACTTTTGCCGCTGGCTCTGTCTCTAGTCTAGTGGATAAACTTTACGTATAATTCATCTTGTGTACAAGTCTATCCTTTGTCTCATTAAACTATAGTTTGTTCCATGGCAAAAAATCATTTTGGCTGAGAGAAAAGTGAAGATGCATAACTTTATATATTTAGGCTGTTGAACTTTAACTTTGTAGCCTATTAAAGAGCTTACCTATGTTTGACTTGTTTGCCTTATTTTCTTATTTAATGACTATTGTGACTGTCATATTAATTGCTCTAACTGTTGATCTGGTCTTCGTCAACAATATGTGCTTGCACCCCCTGCTGGTGAGATTGACTAGCACCCTTCCTCTTTTAGCTCACGGCAGCGAGTGAGGCGAAAGCTGGACCAATGTGTTTATCCTAGTCCTGGCTTTTAATTTGTCACTCTCCCCTTTTCTTTTTTTAGTTTCCTCTGATAAAACCGTTGCCTTCTTCCTTGTAGCGGTTGTTCGGCCATGACGAAAACATACAGACGGCAATCAAACGCGAGTTGAGCACTAACGTCAGAATCTGAGAAAGTTGTGGGTGGTGGGGTAAGTGGGGTAAGAATGTCATCACAAGTGCCAAAAAGAACTTTAAATGCCTGTAATTATGCATCAAGACGTAACTCGACAATGCTATGTATGTGGTATGATGTATTTGTTGTTTTTATAATCCTCTCTGTTTGATCTGTCTTTTATGCTGTATCAATATCATGAAATGTATAATGCCATGTACAGTTTGTTTCAAAGTTAGCATAATTTTCCTTTGTCCTAAAGACGCAAATTAACAACGTTATCCTGTTGATAACGTGGGCGTACGCGCTCCTTGAGTTGGACGACAGCCATTGGCTGCCACAGCGTCTCGAGGTATGTCCAGCTTAACCTTTAAAGCCTTGAGACAGAAGCAAAGCGTCCTCTTGTCCTCCTGGTCCTCTTGTAACCTCCTGAAACTTCTTCAACTCTACTCTTCCCTACTCTCTTGTCGACCGTTCTTGTTTTATTTTACTTTTGTTCTACTTTTGCGAATAGCCAGTTAAGTTCTGAAAACCGTGTCTTCCGTCTTCCAGTCTTCCGACGATAAGACGATCACCACGCATAATAGAACTGTTCAGGACGCGTTTGAGTTCCCGCGAAACGATCCCACGTGGAAGGAACAAAGGAACCCATGCCTCTCATTTCTCGGACTGCACACACGCTTTCAACAACACTAACCAGGTCTGAAATGCAAGTGTTCCACTAAATTTTAGACTCAAGCTTGAATCCTGTGGCTGTCTCTGAAGATTAAATTGTGCTAGCAATTGTATTTTTCCTTGTGTTTCCATTTTTCCTTTCTTAAGTGTTTATTCTCATTTGTTGAGATATATCTTGTGTGATTTTAGTGTAACTTAGTTGTGTTCTTTTTATTAAACCTCATTTTATACATTATTTGCCATTGTGTGTATTGATCACATACATAACAAAGCCTCTTTAATATGAGATCCTAACGCTACAATCTGATATTTGTTAAGTGCACAAACAATGTCAGTAAATTTAAGCTAAAACAGACCAAGTGATTGATAGCTTCCTGCAGAACAGCACGCTGGACGAGCTGACTAAGGAAGCTACGTCAATCCCTTTGGTATTTTAAAGATCAAACACCCATCTGTCTGTGCAGTATATATATATATATATATATATATATATATATATATTCCTGGTTAATCATAATTCATTGTGTTTAATGGTTTATATATGCCCGAAGCAGACGTGTGTGGTGTAAAACCCCTTGTTGGGTGATTTATTTATGTAAGGTCTCAGTTCAAGCTATATTCAATAATTTGTTGATCAAGATCAATAAGTGTGAATATTTTTCCCCGAAATTCAAATTGAGCTATAAGCATTAAGCCAGATTCTTTACATCAGCTAACATTGCAACCAACAGTAAAGTAATATTATAAATAAATGAGTAAAACTCACGTCAGTGTGTTGAGTTGAAAGTGTTTATCCTGCAGTAGAGCAGCGATCTGATTCACTTGTGTGTCTCCTAGTTTATGTTTACTCAGATTCAGCTTTCTCTGCAGAAACGGATTTTCACCCATAACTCTATTCACATACTGACAGGCTTCCTCTGCAGCAGGACTCAAAAACCTGCGGAACAGTCAATTCATTTCTCAAATACATACAAAAAAATATACAATACACGTTTTTTCTTTGAACACTTAAATACACAAATAAATATACATTTAAAAGAAACTAGAGCGACACTCAGTCCTACAGCAAACTCAAAACTAGAAACGTCTCACGAGCAGAGTGGTAAAAGCTCACTAGATCATGGTTTTCAGTATGAATAGAGAGTGTGAAATTAAGATCTTTCTGGCCTTTAAGTAGCCTGGCTGCGCCCTCCTACGCACTTCCGTACTTCTGTACTACGTCTGGGATCGCTCCATATCCTTAGGTTTACAGAAATCGATTTTTTGTAGGACCAATCAGCGAATAGAGGGAGTGGCTGAGAAAGATGACGTTGATGTAAGCGCGTCAGTTTCAATTCAGTAATGGCAGTGGAGAAAGACGTGAGAAAAGCTATTCGGTCCGTTGTTGGAAAAGAAACTGCCGAATATACAGAATTTAAAGCCGGATTGTTATCGTCTCACCTCTTGTTGCACAACTGAGGACCAAGTGAAGGAGGCAGAAAGTTTGGAAGTTTGTGCTGGGCAGTTCGTGCACGATGACCGTGACATTTTGGACGGACGGTTTAGCCTGGTGTTCACGGTGTTCGGAAGCCCCGAGTCCTGGCTGCTAAACTATTGTTGAAGATCCGCTCAGGAGTCATGTCAGTCGCTCATATTCCCAACTGTAAATTTACTGATTCTTGTGATGAATAGAACATTTTGAGCCCCTTTGTGCACTCGTGCAGGAGGTTGGTGTGTCAGTTTTACATGTTGTAAATCATACAAATTGGTTGTGATTTAAAAAAAAATAATTGTCATAAATAAAAATGTGAAAAACCATACTTTGAAGATATTTGATTTACAGTTTTAGATGGCAATGGTTGATTTGTTTTACTAAAAAAAATAAATGCCACATAAAAATGTATAAACACATACTTTGAAGACCATAATTAAGGTAATTAAGAAACAATAAGACGTAATATGAAAAATTGTTGTTTATTACACATCTGCAGATAACAGACAGACTGATCATTCACTGTAGCTGCTACAGCATTTGCGGCAGATCAGAAACGACCACAGCGGCGTATTTGTAATGACACAGCTTCCACCGTTGAATGAATATATCACTGTCCTTCGTGTCAAATATACATTTCGAATTAATAATTGTTCCTAGATTAACAAAACCTGCGGCGCTCGTTGACTGAAATCCTATTGTAAACATAATCCTCTGATCATTCGGACTTGTTGTTTCCAGCCATTTCGGCGCGTGACATACGTTACTCACGACACCCCGTTAGCGATTGGCTATGGCAGATCGTGAGTGACTTTGGGCAGATCCAATAGATTTGAACTTTAATAGTGAAGGAAGGAAACGTTTTTCAATGGAGCGGTTCCAGACTCTATGTGGAAATGAAATGAACTAGAGTCTGGTTGAACCAGGCTACCCTTTAAGCAGGAGAAGTGGGAAATGTCAGCACAGAGAATACTGGCTTGTAAAACTGCATGTTTGTGAACATCTGGAGACTCATAGACCTGCTACAGAGAGATGCAGTGAATCTGGGCTTGATGGAAAACTATTGTGTTCAGAAAACTATTTCACCTAAAAGGTTATCTAGATTTTTGTTGAGAAGTGTGCACAGAAATAAAACTTTGCATTTCAATTATCAAGGTATACTCCAGAATAGCAGCACATATACTGACCCATAATGTCCATTTGACCTGTAGCTCGTATCATAACTAAACTGTGTTGACGTCTATCATCATCATGATAGAACCTGCAGCATCTGATCTTGATCATTTTGATGCAACACTTTGTCAAGCTAATTCTATAGTTAAAATAATATATTAGTTATGAATATTTAGCCTCCATATAACTAATTTAGTTAAACATTTGATCCTGTCTCACCTCAGTGTCTTCAGTTGACAGTCTGGATCCTGTAGTAAATCGTTGAGCTGCTTCACTCCTGATTCTCCAGGATCATTTCCTGTGAGATCCAGCTCTATCAGGTGTGAAGGGTTTGATGTCAGAGCTGAAGCCAGAGTTTTATAACTTTCTTCTGTTACACTGCAGTTAGAGAGTCTAGAACAGGAATGAAAGCATTCAACTTATTAATCAGTTAAACCCCAAACAATATACATCCTAAAAACTTGATTTTTATTTAGTTGTTTGTACAAATGCATTGAAAGTTAGTTGCAAAAACTGACAACTGAATATGGTTTTCAACTGGTATAATTTTTGTAAATATATTTACATTTGTAAATATATTTTTTATTTGCAAATGTCATGTTATTTATTTGTAAGTTTTATATTTTTTTGTGAAACTCTGTGAACAAAGCCCGCCTACTTTACAGTGACAGATCAATGAGGCTCAGATATGAACACACACACACACACACACTGGCCCTCATTTATCAAAAGTGTGTACACCAAATTTCCAGCGTACACCTTGCGTACACTCAAAACCACGGTGAGTTATATGGACGTGGGCGTACGGCACGCTCGAATCCTACACCAGCTCAGGAGGTGGTGTACGCACCACTTCCTGAGTTAGTGAGGAAATGCGCAGAAAAATTCCTAACACCACAAAACGCACTGACAAACTAAAAGATATGATATATTATGACCCACTATAAAACAAACAAACAAAAAACAACATAGTAATTATAAACTTCAGTGTTTATTTTTGTGTAACGTGGACTTTAATGTTTAATTTGTGTGACTTTACCAAAGCATTTGATTTGTAAGCATATGTATTCCTTCAGTTGCGAGCCTGTGTGCTTTACCCTGACATTTCAGGATTATCCCCCGCAGCCAGGTGCGCACGGACTGGGTTCGGTAGCCTAATGAAAGGCTTTCAATGACCAAAAAATAATTCAGACTGACAAAATAATAAAAAATACGTTCTTCCTCTTTTAAATGATAATAATAATACAAATAATAATAACGACATCCTTCTTCTAAATAACAATAAGAATCATTAATACAAATCATAACAATAAGAAGAATACTATTACAAATCGTCATGCAATTATTAATGTGAATGAATGGTACTTCACATCACATCATCATCATCATCATCACTATTATACATGTGACGTGATTCGAAATTGAATGCTAATTTCAAAAGACGTGCTGTAAAATAATGCATTGTGATAGGTCATTTCAGCTCCATGTCGGAGAAGTTTCTCTTCTTTGCCGTCTTCCGTGTGCCCATGGCGTAAAATGAGGGCGTGGGGGGAGCGGAGACTTGAATATTTAGGGGCGTGTTATTCTAATGATGATCGTTTTCGGCCACGGGATTTATCAAAGGCAGGCATTGCGTACACCTGGATTTCAAAGGTACGCACATCTTCATAAATCAGGCGGTGAGAGGAGTGTACGGCGCATAATCTTACGCCAACATATACACCCGTTTCTACGCAAGATTGATAAATGAGGGCCACTGTACTCTGTTTCTGACGTGCTTGGGGCCGTTGTGAACTGAAGATGAATAACACGCTGAATTTGATTATAACAAGACTAATTTGTGTAGCCTACACTTAATCACACATTTTTAGGGGGGCTAGGCAGAAGTTTAGGGCCTAGTGATGCCTTGCTGTACAGTATAATGACACTAACTGTAGTTTCTCAAGCTTGAATTGTGGGTTCATCAGTAGATCACTGAGGTTTTTCACTCCAGAGTCTCCTAGTTTATTCCCGCTCAGCTCCAGCTCTCTCAGGTGTGACGGGTTTGATTTCAGAGCTGAAGTCACATCAGAACAACCTTCATCTGTCATATCACACCAGCTCAACCTACATTTGTATAGAGAGAGAATAAAGAAAATAAGAGACTTTTTATTCTGTAAAGTCACATCATCTTCATCAGCAAATAAAACAGACAGAGGAAGAGAGATCTTCATTTTGATTTCACCAGATCACAAAATACTAAGGTGAAAATGTTTGTACAAATATAATGTTAATGTGTTCTAGTTTAAACAGTCAAAGTGATTTTAAGCATTTTGATTCTTGTATGTGAATGTGACTGACCTCAATCTAACCAGTTTACAGTGCGAATCCTTCAGTACGGCACTTAAGTGCTTCACTCCTGAGTCTCCTAGTTTATTCCTGCTCAGGTCCAGCTTTCTCAAGTGTGACAGGTTTGATTTCAGAGCTGAAGTAAGGATGAGACTTTGTTTCTCTGTAATACTGCAATCACTCAGACTGAAGACAGAGAAATAACAATAGTTCACATTTATAATGATCATCTTATTGAAGAGCTGCAGCAGCATTTAGTTTCCAATAGTCTGTTTTAAAACCCAGTCACACTAGTTCTGTCAGTCAGTACCGTGATAATCAACTACAAGTTCATTGGTGAATTCCTCCTCCTCATCGCTCTACTCCACTTATCCTTCTCTGGCCTCCGCTAACCCTGCCGGCCTCTCTTGCGCTAACAGCTCTGCCCAGATGCGCAGGGCTCTCTTGCGTGCCCAATCTGCACCATACCGAACTGGCTTAAACAAACAATCTGTTTTAGAAGATTAAATACAACACACCAGGCGTGTAAAAGAGACTGGCGTCTATTCGGGATTCGGCTATTATTTGAAGTTTTACGATATGCATGGTAATTCTGAATATCGTCCCTAGGGGTTCCTCATATTTTCGTTTGCAAATTGATGTTCCCAGGCCCGCAGTGCTTTTGGCTGGATTTGTGTGCAAAAAACAAACCAAAAGTGTAAGCGAGGAAAAATGAAAGTCAGAAGAATACAGATCCTATTTATTTTGCATAAACATGAAGCTGCAGCTTCAAAATACATGAATTACACTTACGAATACGATTAAAATGCTGCAAATGTTTTTTTTTCCTCACAATTGTTAGGCGATTTACACTTTTACAAATCTTCTCTTGCGCATGCAAATTTAATTTATTCTTGCAATCTTAAGTAGAATTTCACAAATCTTACACTGCACATGCAATTCTTTATGGTATTATAATACCTCCATACACAAGCACCTATTAAATATATTTTCATAATAGTATTATTGTATAAATATATATTTGTATACTTCGAATATGGTTGAATATTTCACCAGTATCAGCACTGGGACTTGTCACTGTATTACTCCACAAGTTTGTGTTTGTGTAACTTGCATCTGTAAGCCAGTAGGGGGCGACACGCGACTGTATTTATGAATGAGCAATTAAACCATTAATTGAACTAATTAGTCCAAAAACATTGATTAATTTGGGACATAAACAAGTTGCCGAAACTAATCTTTGATGCTTATACATATTGCTCATATGCCTATGGACACAGAAGGATTGCATTGGTGTTTGACTGAAATGATGGCTCGTTTAAAAAACAAACAAATTTTATGTTTTATAAGCTCAAATGGTCGCCTTTCTCTGTTCTGTGATGCGCATTCGTGACTCTCCTGTTCGAACTCGTTCATCAAAATACACAAATCTTTTCCAAAGTCAATTCATTGAATGAACCAAATGACACAAAAAAAGATTAGTTCATTTTGATAAACAAGTTCGAACAGGAGAGTCACGAACGCGCATCACAGAACAGAGCAAGGCAACCATTTGAGCTTATAAAACTTAAACTTTGTTATTTTTTTTTTAAATGAGCCATCATTTCAGTCAAACGCCAATGCAATCCTTCTGTGTCCATAGGCATATATGAGCAATATGTATAAGCATCAAAGATCAGTTTCGGCAACTTGTTTATGTACCGAATTAATCAATGTTTTTGGACTAATTAGTTCAATTAATGGTTTAATTGCTCACTCATTTTTAAAAAAATGAGCAATCGTTTCGCTTGATAAGACCCTTATTCATCGTCTGGAATCATTTAAAGCCCTTTGAACAGTTTGCAGTTTGCACTGAAACTTTCTTTTGGACCTTGAACCATTTGGTTACCAGTAAAGTGCATTATATAAAGAAAAATCCTGGAATGTTTTCATCAAAAACCTTAATTTCTTTTTGACTGAAGAAAGAATGACATGGATATCTTGGATGACACGGGGGTGAGTAAATTTTCAGCAAAAGTGAACTACTTCTTTAAGTGTCTGTACAATATGTGCTCTTTTATCAATTTCCAGTGCTTTTTTATTTTATTTTATGGATGGCTCAGCTAAACAGGCCAATAAAGAGACTATTAACTACAATTATTCCTTTTAATTATACAAATGTCCAATTAAAACAACTACAAATGTATAAAACTGATCAGATATCAGGTTAAACCCATAGACATTTGTTCAATCTCAGTAAATCTGCATGATTCATTGGTTCACAGAGGTAATCTTCCCTCAATGGTGAACCACTGACATTTCCAAATGTTTTGAAACAGTTATGACATAACTAATCCTTGTTTCCTGAAATCATGTGAGTTTGGCAGTTTGATACATGCTCCGAACCACTGATTTAAAACAAATGATTTTTCGGAAAGGTTTCGTATCTTCATGAAACATGTTTTGAAAGCGCCCATCACTAGTGTTCAGTGGATCTTATTACAGGCAGATACTGATCACAGACTTTAAAAATGAACTTGTTCAATTTTTACAAGTTACTGTATATGCTGCACCAAATTTTACAATATTACATTTTGGGAAATACAAACATTGAAATGAAAGCAGTTATGAACATTTCTGATTCTGAAGTCACAAAAACATTGTTCTGCCTCTACAGTAACTGACATAATTTTTTACCCATGATCCAGCTGGTTGACCAACTGGCAAATAATGGTCCAAACCAAATATTTAAAGCTTGATATCACATTTTAATTGTGTTTTTAATTTGCTGTTTCATATTTTTACTTTAAATTGTTGTGGCTCTGTGTGACGCTGAGGAAAAATCGTCTCGGTTCCGTATGTAACCCTCGTTCCCTGAGTAGGGAATGGAGACGTTACATCGGATGACAGAATGGGGGTTTCGCCTAGAAAGCCAATCATCTTCGAGTATTAAAAACGAGCCAATGGCAATGAAATGCCATGGGTCTGGAGAATTTGCATAGCACATCTCCGCCCCACCGTGTGGGTATATAAGGAGAATGCGGACGCAAAGGCAGTTATGTCTTCGCTGAGGAGCCGAGACTGAATAGGGAGCAGCCCAGCCCATAGGGTAGCAGCTTTCAACTCCAGGGGTGCCAAGGTGGCTTGCTGAGGGAAAGACACATGCTCAAGGAGGCTTACAGTGGAAAATACACATGTGGGGGTTACTCAGAGGAGGAACCATGCACACTGAGGCACCTAGCTAACGCCCAGGCAATAGACACTGGCGCCAGCGTCAACAGTGCTGGAGGAACTCAGGGCTTCAAAAGAGAAGGCTCAGCTGAGGAAAAATCGCACGTATTCAGTCTGTGGAGTGGAATGGCGAACAAGCGAAGACACCTGAGCGGTTCCAGTACTTAGCTGGTTGAAGTGAGTACATGAGAAGACACAGGCTCCACTTGGAGATTGTAGAATCTGGCGAATGTGTTGGGTGTCACCCAGCCTGCAGCTCTGCAGATGTCAGCAAGGCGCCATGCGCTAGAGCCCAAGAGAAAGCCACACTCCGGGTGGAGTGCGCTGTCATACCAAGGGGGCACGGTCGATCACCTGATCCAGGGAGCGTGAGGCCACTTTTGTCGCTCGGAGAGCGAGATCAGTGGCGGCATGCAGCTCATCAAAGAGCCCTGGGTCAGTCCTGCCCTTGTGCATATCTCTGAGCAGCTGGGCCTGGTAGACCTGTAATGTGCTCATCGCATGCAGACCGGCGGCCGCCTGTCCTGCAGCTCTGTGAGGCCTTGCCACCAAAGTAGACAAGAATCTACAGGCCTTGGACTGGTGCTTAGGATTGCCACGAGAGGATGCGCTCTGAGGACACAGTTGTATCGCAACAGAGCGCTCCACCGGAAGAATCCCAGTGTACCCTCGAGATCTGATACAGTCAACGCTGGGACTCCCGAAGGAGGCAACGCAGCCGCTTCATCACTTCCCGATGGCTCATGCCCACCTTGTGATGCAGCGATCGACATTGAGTCATCCTCTGGAGCGCCGAATGAAACACGCGGGACCTCCATAGAAAAACCCGCCTGAATCACCACGGCACTCGTGGGTTGCAGAGGGGGGCGTGGTCCGAGGACATGTCATCGGATTATTCCACACGTCACCCTCAAGTCACCCTGTCCACCAGCCGAAGTACCACCTCTCGTGGAGGAGGTAGATCAGGGTGTGGATGAGGGGACCCTCTCCGAGATCATTGAGTCTCGACCTCAGTGTTGCGATGGTCATGTTCCCACAGAAGGAACATGAGTCTTCCACGAGCGCCGCTTTAGCGTGCTCAAAGCCCAGACACACAAAACAGTGCTCGTGCCAAAGGAAGACAGGAAGACAGGAATCGAAGGAAGACAGGAATCGACCGCATCCAGAAGAACACGGGCGAGACATCTTTAAAAAGACGTGCCACGTGCAGCTCTTTTAGTGAGAGGAATAACTCTGCGATGCTAAGGCAACCAGGGAGAAACACAGAGGGCTCTATCTTGCACCCGGCACAAATGACTTTATACACTAACGCATGTCTCAGTCCTATTTTGCATCCACAGACGCATGTCGGTAAACTGGGAAATGAACTTGCGCTCTCTGGGCGGATCGGTGCAAAAAGGAGGCGTGTTTCGGCGCAAACATTCCCTGGTGCTATATTACAGTTCCAGAAAACAATTGCGCCACTGACCAGAAAAAACCTGGTCTAAAGTCATTGGTGCGGCTCGCGTTGTTCATAATGCTATTTTAAGCACGCATGCTTGGCCATAATGTAGCGGGTGCACAATGGGCATAAACTTTGATTCTCTCATCAACACAGATGCAGCAGTTTTTATTTTTGCAAATCATACATTATAACAAGGAAAATATTAACACATGAGGAAAATCAATGTGGTTTGCGTGAAGATGAAAAAAAACCTGATAACCCATTTTTTTAAGGCTAATTGTAGTACTAAAGGATCAGACCTGTTTGCCCAATAGTGGCAAAGAAACATTTGTATATAATGTTTAACCGACACTGATTTGGGTGGTTTCTCCCATCCCCATACAAGGTCACTTCTCTATCTTTCACTGCCCTGACAAGAACGTCGGTCTCATCGACTGTAAACCGCTCCTGGGTCACGCTTGGTAAACCCGCCGTTACAATAACAATCCGTCATGCAACATGCGCACCTGCTCTTAAAGCGTATGTTGGATGATGCTCTGATTGGTTTATTTCACGTTACGCCCAAACCACACCTATGAATAATGAGGCTACTTAAGACCAACCCCTTTTAAACTTGCGCCCGGCGCAAGAGTCATTTATCCCCCCGGTAAAATAGCAACAGAGCCCAAGACCCGCCCATAAAGTTACTTGCGCTTCACGCTTGATACTTGCGTTTCAGATCGTTAAAATAGGGCCCACAGACTGGTAGACCACTGCTCAGATCGCAGGCAATGTGAGACTCGCTGGGTACCGCTGTCACACCAACACCGGAGAGTTGGCTCGTCACTGAAAACTCAGGTCTTTTGACTTGTGGCGTGAAGAGGTTTTCTTGGCTTTGAAGTGAAAACATAAGAATGTCTGCATTCTCCTTATATACCCACGCGGTGGGGCAGAGATGTGCTATGCAAATTCTGCAGACCTATGGCATTTCATTGCCATTGGCTCGTTTTTTAATACTCGAAGTTGATTAGCTTTCTAGGCGAAACCATCGGAGTGACTACAAAATGGGAACTGCTCTGAAACAAGTGAGGAAATATTATCATCAGCTAACATTGCAACTAAAAGTAAAGTAATATTATAAATAAATGAGCAATACTCACGTCAGTGTGTTGGGTTGACAGTGTTTATCCTGCAGTAGAGCAGCGATCTGATTTACTCGTGTGTCTCCTAGTTTATGTCCATTCAGATTCAGGTTTCTCTGGAGTAACGGGTTTACACCCACAACTCTATTCACATACTTACAGGCTTCCTCTGCAGCAGGACTCAAAAACCTGCAGAACAGTCAATTCAGTTCTCAAATACATGTCTGTTGCATTACAAAAAAGATTTATACGATATTTTTTTTTTCTTTGAACATTTAAATACACAAATAAATAGAAATTTAAAAGAAACTAGAGCGACACTCAGTCCTAAAGCAAACTCATTAGAATAGAAACTTATCACGAGCAGAGGGGCAAAAGCTCACTAGATCATGGTTATCAGTATGAATACAGAGTGTGAAATTAAAGGGATACTTCACCTCTGGGAAGATGAATGTGTATTTAATATTGGTAATTTATATAGAAGAAATGTGAAAATATTTCTGAAATTGAAGCATTCTAGCCTGAGAAAAGGCGGAAACTGTATGTTTTACTCATGTGGCTGAAAGATTACAACTCCCAGAATGCACTTGCTTTGCTGCCCTTACGAGGCCACACCCAAACCACGCCTGCGGCAGAATCCAAAAAAAAAAAAATGGATACAACTAGGCTTGCTTTAAAACATTGTGAGTTATTTGATAAATTTCCATCGAAATGGTGCTAAATTGCATTGTACCGGGATGTACTAGCCTAAAGTATATAACACGACTTAGACTTTCACATTAAAAATATGATGCAAGGCAGGACCATGACAACAGAGTAGCTTAGCTCTGCTTATGAACTGTTTTCCTCCAATTGAAATCACTATTTCTCTAAGCTAATACATCATCTAGGCTAATCCATACTCTACTAACACCACTAACACTAATCGTTTATAAAAAGAATCACAACCAATGTGAGTAATAACTTTTATTTTAAAAAATAATTAATATTAACACTTTTAAACTCAAAGCTCTGCGGATTCAGCGATCTCACCAGAAGAAAACGGCATCGCTGAGATTCGCAACAGCAATAGGACTCTGTATCTGTTTCATTGGCGCACAGCAAAAGAACTCACATTCTCCATCTCCCACAACTGTTTATCGCTGTATTGCGGCTCGTACAGGTAGTCGCAAACATCAGATTCTCGCCCACCCCAGCTCGAGTCTGGCCAGGCTCAGGTCTCGCTCCGACCACCTCGCTCTTGTTCTGCAATCTGATCTGCTCTTATCATCCGATCGTGGTTGCATCTCTCTATTAGTGTTACTCAATCTTAGTGCTGCATTTAACACAATTGACCACAACATTCTTTTAAATAGACTAGAAAACTATGTTGGCATTTGTGGAACTGCATTAGCATGGTTTAAATCATACTTATCTGGCCGTTATCAGTTAGTAGCAGTAAATGAAGAGATGTCTTATCGCTCACAAGTTCAGTATGGCGTACCATGCTACCATTAGGAGATATCATTAGGAAACATGGAAGTAGCTTTCACTGCTATGCTGATGATACTCAGCTCTATATTTCTTCAAAACCTAATGAAACTTACCAACTCATAAAATTAACGGAATGCATTGCTGATATAAAAAATTGGATGACTAGTAATTTCCTACTACTAAATTCTGAAAAAACAGAGATTTTAAGGCTGCTCTGTTAAGTCTTCGTCGTCGGTTAAGAACCTGGGTGTGCTCTTTGACACTAATCTCTCATTTGAAAGTCATGTGTCTAGTATCTGTAGAACCGCATTTTTCTATCTTAAAAATATATCTAAATTACGCCATATGCTCTCATTGACAAATGAGGAACAATTAGTTCATGCATTCATGACATCAAGGCTAGATTATTGTAATGCTTTACTGGGTGGTTGCCCTGCATGTTTAATAAACAAACTTCAGATAGTCCAAAACACAGCCGCTCAAGTTCTTACCAGAACCAGGAAGTATGACCATATTAGCCCTTTTCTGTCAACCCATTGCTGCCTATAAAAGATTGTATAAATTTTAAAATATTGCTGATTACTTATAAAGCACTAAATGGTTTAGCTCCACAATACTTGAGCGAGCTCTTAACGCATTATAGTCCTTCATGTCTATTGCGATCTCAAAACTCCAGCCAGTTGATAATACCTAAAATATCAAAATCGACTGCAGGCGGTAGATCCTTTTCCTATTTAGCACCAAAACTCTGGAACAATCTTCCTAACATTGTCCAGGAAGCAGACACACTCTGTCAGTTCAAATCTAGACTAAAAACACATCTCGTTGGCCTAGCATAAACATAACACACTATAGACTTCCTAAATTCAAATAAAGCTGCATAGTTTAGATCAGCCGGAACTGGGAATACGTCACGTAAATCCTGATGTACTTGGTACATCAAAAGAAGGATGGCGTCTACGCTAATATCAGTTTTTCTGTTTATCCCGAGGGACCCTCTATGGTGGACCTGCGCCTGGATCCATCCCGACTCATCCTTAAGTGCCGGCTTCATCGACACGACAGCCATCGGCACTGACCCTCAACATTTCGTCTCCAAACCGGCGTGATTACTTCGACTTCCAAACAGATGGAAATGGACAATTCTCTTAATGTTTCGATCCAATTTGTTTTGTAATCACTGTTCTTTCGTTGGCCAGAGGAGAACTGGCCCCCCGACTGAGCCTGGGTTCTCCCAAGGTTTTTTTTCTTTTTTCTTTTTTTTTCAAGGTTTTGGTTCCTTGCCACTGTTGCCTTGCTTTTGGCTTGCTTAGTTGGGGACATTTAATATTCAACAATATTATTGATCTGTGTTAGGGGAGCACGGTAATTCGAAAATACAACTGGCTTTCTACTGATACAAAGCTTAATGTTAAATCCTGAAATATCCCTTTAAGATCTTTCTGGCTTTTAAGCAGGAGAAGTACGAAACGTCAGCACAGAGAATCACCTGAACCCACTCCCTCAATCAACCACCTGTTCATCATCTTATTAATCTGTATCACCTGTTTGCACCTTGTTATTGTCACAGTCTGTCGTCTTCACCAGTTTGTCTCGTCATCTGCACTACACTTCCCCGGATCCTTTTGTTTCTACTCCCGGACTCACTCCCCAATCAGCCACCTGTTCCTCGTCCTGTCATTATCATTTTCACCTGTTTCCACCCCATTTAGCTTAATTCCTCAGTGTATTTAGTTCAGTTCAGTTTCATTCAGGATTTGTCGGTCGATGTCTTTCGTTGTTCATTGTGAACCCGTGTGGTGCTTGTATTCCAGTCTGCCTGCCTGTTTATATATATATTAAAACTTTGTTCTCCCGGATACTCCGGTCTCCTCGTCCCTCTGCCAGAGCCACACCGTGACAGATCGACCGACCACACTGAAAAAGAACAATGGAGATTCCCGCAGTGGCTCTCCTTTGCCTGGATCAAGAAGACCGTTCCCTGGAATCCCATACACGGGACTTTCTGGAGTTGGCGTGCCTAACTCACTATTCTGACCACTCGCTGAGTTCCGCCTCTCTCCGCTGGTTCCGTCCAGCCCCGCCGAGCTCGAGCTCTCCTCTCCGCTGGTTCCGTCCAGCCTCGGCGAGCCCGAGCTCTCTTCTCCGCTGGTTCCGTCCAGCCCCGCCGAGCTCGAGCTCTCCTCTCCGCTGGTTCCGTCCAGACTCAGCGAGCCCGAGCTCTCTTCTCCGCTGGTTCCGTCCAGCCCCGTCCAGCCCGCACCAGAGACCGTCCAGCCAGAGACCGTCCAGCCAGAGACCGTCCAGCCAGTGACCGTCCAGCCAGAGACCAGGATCCCACCCAGCCTCCCTCTCCCGCCTCCTCCCACCATTCACCCATCAGCCCTCCTGTCCCATAGCCATCCAGACCCAGCAGGGTTCGTGGATCCCCGGCCTTCGCCTCACACCTCCTCCATCTGGACCCTTCCTCGGCCCCCTGTCTCATCGGCTCCCCCGTGGCTTCTGCCTCCCTCAGCTCCTCCATGGCCCCTCAGTCCACCAGCTCGACCAGGCTCCCTCGTCCCTCTGGATTCCTTTCGGTCCCTCATCACCCGTCCTTCACCTCTGGACTTTCATTTGTTTGCTTTGCCCCGTCATTTCACCCCCCCCAGTTCAGTTGGATTCTTCACTCCCTCCGGTCACCCATCAGCCCTCACTCCCTCTGGCCTCACCGTGTCCCTCTGTACCCCTGTCATCACTTCAGTCACCGTAGCCTGCGGGGTCCCCATGTTCCCACGGTTCCTCATCAGCACCTCATGTCGTCAGTTCCCTCCATCTTTTCCGCCCTGGTCTCGCCCTCAGCCTGCTCCGCCCTGGTCTCGCCCTCAGCCTGCTCCGCCCTGGCCTCGCCCTCAGCCTGCTCCGCCCTGGTCTCGCCCTCATCCTGCTCCGCCCTGGCCACGCCCTCATCCTGCTCCGCCCTGGCCTCGCCCTCATCCTGCTCCGCCCTGGGGTGGGGGCTTCCTCCTCCTGACCACGCCCTCCACAGCCTCCAGTGTGCCCACCCCCCCTCCCCATTGATGTTACGGCGTGAGGCCACGCCTACCGGGAGGGGGGAGTGATGTCACAGTCTGTCGTCTTCACCAGTTTGTCTCGTTATCTGCACTTCACTTCCCCGGATCCTTTTGTTTCTACTCCCAGACTCACTCCCCAATCAGCCACCTGTTCCTCGTCCTGTCATTATCATTTTCACCTGTTTCCACCCCATTTAGCTTAATTCCTCTGTGTATTTAGTTCAGTTCAGTTTCATTCAGGATTTGTCGGTCGATGTCTTTCGTTGTTCATTGTGAACCCGTGTGGTGCTTGTATTCCAGTCTGCGTGCCTGTTTATATATATTAAAACTTTGTTCTCCCCGATACTCCGGTCTCCTCGTCCCTCTGCCAGAGCCACACCGTGACAGTTATGTTTGATTCTTGCTTGTATTTAGTTTCCTTCAGTTCAGTATGTCCTCATTGGTCAATGTCAATGTTACATTGTGTGTACCTTCTGCCTGCCTCTGACTGTACCAGTTTTTGTTATCGAGTAAAAGTGTTATTCGTTTGAATCTTGTCTCAGTCTGCTCTTCTGCCTGCACCCAACAGTGACAAAAACAAGACTGTCTTTGTTTTATTTGCATTTAACACAAGCTTTGAATCAAAAAGCCAAGATTGTACAACGTCAAAGGCAGTGTTGGAATGTAACAAAGTACAAATACTTTGTTACTTTACTTAAGTACATTTTTCACGTATCTTTACTTTTCTTAAGTAGGATAAATAGTGCATTCTTTTTACTTCTACTTCGTTACATTTTGCAGCAATTATTATACTTTCTACTTCACTCCTTTTCTCCAACTTCTGTTACTTTTTCATTACATTTTCTGATCAGTTTTTCCCCTGCCAAAACGTAATCTGACCGTCCGTTCGTTGCACGTTTGTCTCACCAGTGACGTTTTGTATGCCATACATTAACTAAATGCGTCTCACAGGCAGTGTGTTTATCGTGCAATTTATACGCAAAAATTTGTTTTTACGTGCATAGGAAACACACCGTGTGTAAATACGTTTGGTTAGGATTATGGCAAGTCAAGAGCTTCAGAATTACATCATAAATTAATCGCGTTTACTGCCAAACATAGTTATTAACATATAGTAAGGATAAGCATGGTTTATATTGCCTAATTGCAACCTTGTTTCAGAAATGGTGACAACAATTTTTTTTCCATCATTATTGAACATCATTACAGGAGTATTAGGTTGAATGAGTTAGAATTAAATGTTTTATTAATCATTAAAAAATAGTCATTAAGAGAATCAATTGTTATGCAAGTACTTTTACTTTTAATATTTAAAATAGATTTAAAATCAGGTACTTTTTACTTAACTATGGTTGTCATTGTGTTACTTCTACTTTTACTAAAGTAAATATTTATCTGGTTATTTGTACTTTTACTTAAGTACTGAGTTGCAGTACTTCCTCCACCACTGGTCAAAGGCATCCTGCAGGTACTGAAAAGTCTTGTGAAGGGTTTCTCCACATCTCTAAATAATTGTGCCATCAGCATAAAGATGAAACAGAGCATTATGGACATTTGAACCAAGATCATTTACATAAATGGGAAATAAAAGTGGGCCCAGCACCGATCCTTGAGGAACCCCTGATAAAACTTGTAAAAAACCTGAAGAAGTACCATCAAAAGTGACGCACTGAGTCCTATCTGAGAGATAATTTTCAAACCAACCAATTGCCTTCTCAGAAAGACCAATGCTGAGCAGTCTCTGTTTAAAAATACAATGGTTGACCATATCAAAAGCTTTAGAAAGATCGATGAAAAGAGCTGCACACATCTTTTTGCAGTCTACTGCCTCAATGCTGTCATTCACCACCTTCAATGAAGCAGAGATGGTACTATGTTCCTTTCGTAAACCTGACTGAAACTCTGATAGGATTTTATTAACACTCAGGAATTCTTTGAGTTGTTCACTTACTAGTCGTTCTAAGACCTTTGACAGCACAGACAAGTTGGAGATAGGCTTATAGTTGTTTGGCAAAGTAGGATCTCCTTCCTTTAACAAAGGGAGGACATAAGCAGATTTCCAGACTGATTCTAGCCTGACTTCGTCATACTCATATTCAAGAAAAAATATGAGTCTGAAAGTCCTCCATTGGGCTTTGATTATGAGGCGTGTCGTAACCGAACCAGGACAAAAAAAAAATCCTCTGGACTCAATTGGATAGTCGGTAGACCTACCAACCAATCAGAGCAACGCATAAGTCAACTCCTTTGCAAAGCGCAGTTTTCAAATACAGAACGTAGCCTACTTTATTTATTTTAGAAGTTAAACAACGAGTGTTACTACTTTTACTTACTTCTCCATGAGTGCCACCAAAGGAGAAACCACAACGACCACAGGCTTTTCATTACGTCCCATCTTCTTAACGACCATCAGAGCCAGCTGATAAGTTACACTTTTCCCGAATCATGTAGGAAGGACGCCAAAATATCTTTCCGATCGACAAATGCCTTGATTGCAGTTCTCTGTTTGTCTATTAAAATTAATGAGCTGTCGATTTTTTTTTACAAATAACGCGACAGCGGAATCTATACATCTCAACTCTCCAGCTGCAGTTATCTTTGACAAGCGCACTTTGATGACGTGAGGATTACGTTACTGAAGACCACCTGTCAATCATCGTATAAAGCCCGCCCTGGCAATTTGATCATAATTACTCCTCAATGGATCGAGTCCAGACCGAACTTCCCGTCCAAAAAATGTTGTGGGCGGAGTATGGGCTGGCATCCAGGCTAATAGCATTCTAAACCAAAGACAAATTAAAAATATACATAAGCGGTTTAGCAAAAAAACTGCAGTATTTAAAAAAAAAAAATATATATATATATATAAACAATCTGAGCCAGCAAGCTTTTTGATGTCCAGTGACATTAGAGCTTTGTGCACATCATCGATTGAAAACGGGGCAAAGGTAAAAGACAAAGGCTGGCCAACATAGCATCTTCCCGCAGCACTACCATCAGAAGAGGAGATTTTTGGAGATAGAGATTGGTCAAACAAAGAACCAGATGAAACAAAATGTTCATTAATACATTCTAGCATTGCAGATCTTTCCGAGATAATAATATTATCCCTAATGATATGGAGAGGCAGTTCATTATGAGATTTAGTTAACGAAATTGACTGAATAGATTTCCAAAAAGTCCGAAGGTTATTTAGATTGTCTGTAGTGGCCGCTAGATAGTATTCAGATTTGGCACGTTGGACAGCTGTAAACTGTTTTCGTAGTCGTCTAAAAGTAATCCTATCAGCCTCCACGCCAGAATTTACCTAACCTAAACTTACGCATAGGAGCATGTTTATCAATAAGTTGTAAAAGTCCATCATGAAAGTATTTCCAGGCTATTTGAACATCATAAATAAGCCTAATGCTGTCCCAATTAAAATAAAATTAATCATGTAACAAACCTTGTAAGGAGAAATGTTTCATATCACGTTTTTGGTCGCCTGGATTTGGGAAATTTTGCATTTCTAACTGCAGCAATCGTACAATGATCACTAATGTCATTAGCAAACACACCAATTTCAGAAAATGTATGAGGTGCATTTGTCAATAGCAAATCAATTAGAGTAGATTTCTCTGGCTGTTTTGAATTTGGATGAGTACGTAGGAGATGCAATTAACCTGTTAACCTTCAGCTCCACAAGGCACAGCTGAAAATGACATGCCTGGATAACAATAAATACAGCTCCTGAGAACAGTGTACCACAGGCACAATTAAGGTATCTTTGGAAAGAAGACAGTTGGGACTCTACTAACAATCAATCAGATTTGATAATGCTCAAACAGAAAAAAAGTTATAAAAGTTAAAAGTGCCTCAAAAATAATGTGCGCCACAAAAATGTTTTAGTATTTCATGTACAGATATATAAAAATAGACCTGGAGTAATTCAGATAGATAAAGGATTGAAAGCCACAAGTCTCATCAGTTTATATTTCAAATTTGAGGAAGATATAATGAACAATGGGGTTCCTGCAAACTTTTTTCCAAGACTATGTCAGTTCCCTTTCTCCCTCCCCCTGCGTGAGGCACATCCCCAGAAATAACATGCCCAAACTAAAATATTTGCAGTTGCTCAACTATTTGCACTACATGCACAATTTAGACATGTTTAATTGTGTGAGATTTAATTCACTACAAAGGCCCTTCATTCCGTCTGAAGCAGGTTTGAACCAGTCCCAGTTCACATCGCCTGCCAAGATAATCTCACTGTACTGCAGCTGTGATAAAAGCTGTGACAGCGTCAGAAGGCTATCAGCTGCAACAGAAGTTGGTCTGTAGCATCCAACAACAGTGATAGTCATACCTTTGTACAAATTCAAGTTGTTTACTCACAGATATAGACAGAAGCACACTGGCAGTGAATTTGTTCTTTACATATATAGTCACGCCCCCAGCCTTACGAGGCCAGTCAGTTCTAAAAACATTGTATTCACTGATAACAAAGTCTTTATCTGTGACTGATTTAGATAGTCATGTTTCTGAAAGAATTATAATATCTGCATCAGTGGATTTTGCCCAAATACGTAAAGAATCAACGTAAAGGAAACATTCAGTACTTCGCATATTCAAATGAATAATACCCAACCCAGATTTTGTTTTTAAAATCAGCCAGAGTATTGCAGATTTTAGAGTCAACATCAACAGAGCCAGGATTTGGCAGCACATCACCACAAATAATTAACATATTAATTACTGTATCAAGCATCTCTGTTTCATAGTTGCACCAAGGCTCACAGAATTTTTAGTATGTAGTGAATTTAAAAAACAACATAAGATCCTTGTCAGATAAAACAGTAAAACTTTTCAAAACAGCAAGGCACAGAGAACAGAGAAGGGATACAGAAGGAACACTATAAAGGGGCTGTAGTTTTTGTAATTTTTTCACAGGTAACTCTGGCCTGGTGCAGGTCTGAGAACTAATGGGGGACCCCAGGCCTTCACTAGAGGTTTCATCTGGGACATTCATATGCCCCTGTCCCCAGAGCAAGACGAGACTCAGTAGAAAAAGTGTCATTTCCGGCACTGTAGAGCTGCGACCCAAAGAGAAGAGCAATTCGCCTGGCAGATGACTGTGTATACAGGCAGAGCAAAGACTGGAGAGTTTGGTAGTTCAACGTTCAAGCACAGGTGCATTCAAAAAGAAAGTCTTACCAGTCGAAGCCGGGTGAAGCAACAATAATCATTCCATAGATTACCAGTAAGGCCATGCAGAAAGCCTGTGGAAGACCATGCGACAGGAGGACACGGGCAGCAGCAACAGCGCGAAGATGCAAGCCAAAAAGCAAAAGCAGCATGCGGTGAGAGTTAAATGATTAGCCAGATCAGCCCAAGCAACAAATTGTCAAGCTAATTGAATAGCTGAAATATTATATTAGTGATGGATATTTAGCCTCCATATAATTAATTTAGTTAAACATTTGATCCTGTCTCACCTCAGCTTCTTCAGTTGACAGTCTGGATCCTGTAGTAAATGATTGAGCTGCTTCACTCCTGATTCTCCAGGATCATTTCCTGTGAGATCCAGCTCTATCAGGTGTGAAGGGTTTGATCTCAGAGCTGAAGCCAGAGCTTTAGAACCTTCTTCTGTTACATTGCAGTTAGAGAGTCTAGAACATGATTATTGATTATTTGATTAATCAGTTAAACCCCAAACAATATAAATCCTTAAACTTGAATTTTTATTTTGTTCTTTGTACAAATTCATTGAAATTTAGTTGCAAAACTGACAATTGAATATGGATGCAAACAAAAGGCACAGAAATCTTTAATATGTTAGACATCAACATCACTTTCGATGTGAACACACTCATAAACTAGAGGGAGTGTTTAGTTGAGACTAGCTGCAAAGCTGAAATCATAAGATACACAACTCCCCCAAAAGCACTAAAATACATTAATCCTGTCACATAAAATATTAAGAGAAGTGATTTCTACCAGATATCGGCCTCCATTCTGTGGCAGATTTACCAGCTCTAACAGAATCATCTGAATTCTGACTCAACACTAGGTGTGCAAGTAATGACTAAATCACTAAAGTATAAATTACTATAAACAAAAACATCATAATTTAAGTGTTTACTTCTAAGAAGTAGAATATACATATATAAAAAATACTTTATCCACTAAATAGTATAATTCCAGTGCAGTACCATGTTAAAGGGATAGTTCACCCAAAAATGAAAATTAGCTCATGATTTACCCTCACCCTCAATACATCCTAGGTGTACATGACATGCTACTTTCAGAAGAATACAATCGGAATGATATATAAAAAAAATGTCCTGGCTCTTCCAAGCTTTATAATGGCAGTGAATGGCTGTATATTTTTCCATCAAAGTCCATCCATCAATGATAAAAGTGCTCCACGCGACTCTGGGGGGTTAATTAAAGCCTTCTGAAGTGAAGCGATGCGTTTGTGTAGGAAAACTATCCTTATTTAAAACTTTATCGACTAAAATAACTAGCTTCTGACCTTTAATAAAACCCCCAGAGTCACGTGTAGCACTTATTTTACAAAAAAAAAAAAAGATATTTGCCAATGACCCTCAGGATCTGAAGCTCTTATTCTGAAATTTATTGATAGATCTTTCCTTTTCTTAGAACGAAATGAATGCTTACTGTCACTTCAATATTACTAGATGAAAAAAACATCAACAATAAAATAGCACAATTACAGGATTGATATGGTATACCCACATTGTAACAAATTAATAAAACATCTTTGAATTTTTCACAAAAGTTTTCTTGCGTTTTTGCCTTCGCTGTCCTGTCAGTCATCGCACCTCACTCATCATGTGACTCCTGTGGCTCGACTTACCTCAGTATCTCCAATTTACACTTTACATTCTTCAGTCCAGTGCAGAGCAGCTTCACTCCTGAATCCTGCAGATTATTATTGTTCATGTTCAGCTCATTCAGATTGGTATCTGATCCAAGAACTGCAGCCAGAGCTGAACAGCTTTTGTCTGTTAAGTTACAATCATTTAACCTACAATAAAATCACAACACAGAATTAGATGGAACACATACAATACATTTTTTATATATGAATATTAATTACATTTTCCATTATTTTTAACATAAACAGCATATACAGCAAAGAGGCTGAGTTAAACTAACATTTATCTTCAAAAACTACTATTTCCTGTACATTAGTGTTTTTTATTCTGTGAAAAATTTCCTAGATAAAATGAAGCATATCTGAAAAAAATATTTGTGTAAGCTGTTTTAGCTATAGGAGTTTTTCTCTATTTATGTATCCTGATGGAGTTTAGGTTCTTGCCAGTGTTGCCTCTGTCTTTTTTAATTGGGGACACTTAATAATAGGGGTATGCATAAAAAATCGATTCACATTTGTATCGCGATTCAAGCTTTGCCGATTCAATTCACCGAAAATTTTTACCGAAATCAATTTATAGTTCCAAAAATCGATTCTCATTTATGATTTTCAGAAATGGAATTTTAAGAAAAACGGGTTTAATTAACGTGATAGCAGGGAGACTGGCGCCCCCTTTTTTATTGCCTTTTTTTCATTTCACATATTTTAGTTATCATCATAGATTAGGTATCATTCGAAAGCTTACAAACTCAAAATTCAACCTGTGAAAACCATTTTGAAATTGGACGATTGAGAGGCGAGCAAGGTATTTTAAATGAGCAGCTTCAAACTCTGCTGTTCTCTTGTGCTCCGTATCACACCACACTATAAGGCTGGATAAAAACAAATCAATAAAAACTTGCGGGCTGTTGTAGTTCACCCAGAACTGGACTTTATTCTGTTATGTTGTTTATTTTGATAGGTGAACTGTCTTTTTAGTGTTAAGAGAAGGAGATCTAAATGGGAGATATTGTTTTTTTGCCCCTCCATATGTACAGTATATGTACAGTCATGGTCAAAATTGATGGCACCCCTGGTAAATATGATCAAAACTGGCTGTAAAAAATAAATCTGCATTGTTTATCCTTTTGATCTTTCATTAAAAAAATGGCAAAACTCCAACCTTTCATTGAATTAAAAGAATTGAAAGTGTGGGGGTCACATTATAAAATAAATGTTTTTCTCCAAAATACGTTGACAACTATTATTGGCACCCTTTTATGAAATAGTTTTTGCTATCTCCTTTTGCCAATATACCAGCTCTGAGTCTTCTCCTATAATGCCTGATGAGTTTTGAGAACACCTGACAAGAGATCAGAGATCATTCCTTCATACAGACTCTCTCCAGATCCTTCAGATTCCCAGATCCATATTGGTGCTTCATTTCTTCAGTTCACTCCACTCATCAGGTCAGGACACTGATCATGGCAGAAGCTTTATTTTGTGCTCCGTAACTAATTTTTGTGTAATTTTGATGTTTGTTTTGGAACATTGTCCAGATGGAAGATCCAACCACGGCCCATTATAAGATTTCTAGCAGAAGGCTTCAGGTTTTGATTTTTTATCTGTTGATATTTGACAAAATCCACAATGCCATGTATCTGAACAAGAAGTCCAGGACCTCCAGCAGAAAAACATGCCCACAACATTAAAGATCAAATGGTATATTAAATTGTACACATGGGGTACTTTTTATCCTTGTGTGCACCAAACCCATCTAGCGTGTTTGCTGCCAAAAAGCTCTTTTTTAAGTTTCATCTGACCACAGAAGCCTGTCCCGTTTGAAAATCCAGTCATGTCTGACAACTAAATTTGCTGGAGTTTGTTCTTGGATGAGCGAGGAGGATTTTTCTTCAAACCCTACCAAAAAACATGTGCTGACATATATATATATATATATATATGAGTGTCAATGGGGAGAGTCGGGACGTTTCCCGGTGGTCTGGTTGCGTTTCAAGGCCGCGAGGGCCGGTCTGATAATAGTGATACATTGCAAGTTCTTACCATCCGGCAGACTGGTGTGCGTTTAAGAACTTTTATTTTTTAGACAAAGTGTAATACAAAAAGTATTTCTCTTTATATGAAGATTAATCTGTTAGAAATTTATGTGGATATCTATAAAGCGAAGAAAAAGTCCCATTCACCTGTGGTGTCATTATAGTGTGGTCATTTTCAGGACTTTCGTCCCGGTTAGAGATTTTGGCACACATCCCACGTTGTTCAATGGAGTCATATTAGTCTAGAACAGTTGAGATGTTCTCCGCTAAATAAAGTGCACACAAATCTTATCTTAGATTTAAAAAAAACAACAGATGTAAGTGCTAGATTTCTTATTTAATAGTGAACTAAATGAATGCTCTGCTAGTTAACTGGAGATGTTTTATTTATTTGTATTAGGTACAACCGTGCAATGTTTCAAAAAGAGGTGGGGGACAATATCGATCCTGAGAAAAAGGGGTGAGGACATGTCCCATCAGTCCCAGCCGCAATTTATGCCTATAGCATGATTGTTTGTTTAATCTGACTACAGCATTTTAAAGCTAAATATAAAAGCTTTTTATTTAAGTTTTATTTTAAACTTAAATTAAATGTATTTGAAAACTGGCGAAAGCTTGGCACTTTGCACTTTTTAGTTGCAAAAGTTTTTATTTTTGTATGAAGACATATAATGTAATATAAAACTACATTTAATTTGTTGTGTTTCTTTTCTTTTAAAATATATGTCAACTACAATCAATCACAAAGGAAAAAGTAAAATACATTTACCTACTCTGAATCGTTTTTTGAATCGAGAAGCGTTTTGGAATTGAAAATCGATTTTGAATCGAATCTTCAGCCTAAAGATTGATATCCAATCGAATCGTGACATTTTCGGAATCATGCACCCCTGCTTAATATTCAACAATATTATTGACTTAACTGCACCGACACCATTAAATGAGTTTAAAAGTTAAAAGTTAAAGGCCTTTCACTATAATACTAAAACTGCCTCCATTCACATGTACATGTCTTTTTGACGTAACATATTTAATTATTTAAATAAAGCAACAATTACTTAAACCTAAGAAATTGTATTTGTTTTTAATATAATCAAGATTAAGGTCAACCGATGTCTGATGCCAATTTATTTGAGAGCAGGTTGGCAAATGGGTGATATATCATTAATTTAAAGATAGTAAAGAAGCATCCATGACAATTACTGAAATTAAATTGATAGCTATTTTACTTAATTACTAAATTAGAAAAAAAATATATATATATACTTTTTAAAGATATGTGAAAAATATATATTTTGAACAATAAAAACAAGGGAATGTATTTTTTGTCGTGTGTGGAAAGTATAGTTTGTTTCTATGAGGACGCTGTATCAGAGAGAGAGATGTGCTGCGGCTCACAAGCCTGTTCTTCACAAGATTGTAAAGTTACCCATAAGTTTTGTCGGTGAAGCTCAAAAATCAATACACCTAAGTTTACCCTCTCGGGTTCATACGGCCAATGAGGTATTTTTTTATTTACTTGTCATTTATTTCTGTTACGTGACTGTGTTTGTAACAAGCCAAGAAAGATTTTTTTACATGGTATTTACTTATGCTTTATTTCTTAGTTTTCAATGTGATTTCATTTAATATTGTCCGCAAATATCTCAAGAATTTAAAGGTGCAATGTGTAATGATTTTGAGTATCTATTAACAGAAATGCAATATGAAATCTATAGCTATGGTTTCAATGGTGTATATAAAGAACTCAATTAAAGGTGCTCTAAGCGATGTCACACATTTTTTAGGCCCAAACATTTTTTGTCACATACAGCAAACATCTCCTCAGTATCCGCTAGCTGCCTGTCCCCTAAACACACTGGAAAAAACCGCGGTCTATGCAGACAACCCAGGCTGTAGATTTATATCTATAACCGCGGGCACCCCCTGCTATGAAGCTCGCCATATTGTGATGTCATGTTTCTACCGTAGCCGAACGCGAACAAACGTCGCTTCAGAGTGTTTAGTTCATACCTTGAAAGAGAAGCTGCAGAAACCTAGAAGCTAGCCATAGACACAGTGAGTAGTGACTTTTCCCTTGTCAGTAGTGTAAAATATGTAGTTGGACTGTTTCATGTAACTTAGCTCTTCTGATTTGTAGGGCTGTCACGGTTATGAAATTTCCCTTGCGGAAATGTTGAGTGGCTCAATTGAGTGGATATTCGGTATTACCGCCATTTATTTTTTTAATTTGTATGTATTAATTGATATATAAATAAAGTTTATGATGTGGGCAGCATGGACAAAAACGAGGACATTTTCAGTAACCATTGTAACCGAAACTAAACAGCAGCTATGTGCATTGAAAGGCTTTCACTCAGCGCGCACATTGTTATGACAACAGACTTTAAGTAAGTCATTAAACTGTTCATTCAATAAACACGTTCAAGCTGATTCATTAAAAGGGATGTAACAAGGTGTTGATTATTTTTAACGTTAAGTTCCACTTTTCAAGGCTCAGCTGAGCAGCGGTGGTGGGCGGACTTAGGGATCTGAGTGGACGGCGGGGCTGTCGGGGCAGATTAAGCCTCAGTCTGATCGTGGGCGGTTGAGAACTGTTGGGCAAAGCCCTCGACTGCACCACCGAAGAGGCTGACCTGGAATATAGAGTGTCAAGCAGATGGGCCAGCCTGACATCCTGCACATTGGACAGATTCAGCCACAGAATGGTGAGCATCACCTGACCCAGGGAGCATACGGCCACTTTCGTCGCTCGGAGAGCAAGGTGGCAAGAGCCCTGGTTCAGTTCACTCTCCGCAAAAAACACACTCACTGGCAGATAACTGCACAGATCAGCAGGCAATGTGAACTCACTGCAGATTGCCAACACCAGAGAAAGTGGCTCGTCACTTAGAGCGAAGTCAGAAATAGCTGTGGAGTGATGAGATACTCTTGGCTCCGAAGCGAAAATATATATGCATGTTGTCGGCGTCCTCGTTTATACCCAAATGGTAAGGCAGAGATATGCTATGCAAATTCTGCAGACCCACGGCATTTCTTTGCCATTGGCTCATTTTGTATCCTCAAAGTCCATAGGCTTTCTAAGTGAAACCCCATTCGTTGTCATCCGACAGAACTCGGAGTGACAATGAAAGGGAACTTCATGTTTATGATGGGGAATCACTATAGAGAATAATGCATTTTTCATATGGGAGCTAAACATGACAAAATTTATTAAAAGACTTACAGGGCTCTTTTGGAGGCTTTAATGACTGCCGATAATTTAATGAGGCACTCGTCTGATTTCTTGAATTTCTGAAGCTCAAACTCCTCCAGCTCTTCCTCTGATGTCAACAACACAAAGGCTAAAGCAGACCACTGGGCAGGTGAAAGGTCACCAGATGAGAGACTTCCTTTGCTAAGGTGGGTCTGAATCTCGTTCACCAGAGTTTGGTCGTTCAGTTCATTCAGACAGTAGAACAGATTGATGGATCTCTCGGCAGGAAGATTAGCTTCTAATTTCTGCTTGATGTACTGAACTATCCCCTTTTTGGTCCGATCAGTGCCGTCTCGCTGTGTCAACAGACCTCGTAAGAGTCGTCGATTGGACTGGAGTGACAGACCGAGGAGGAAGCGAAGGAAAAGGTCCAGGTGTCCATTGTCACTCTCCAGCGCCTTGTCCACTGCAGTCTTGAGAAAATCAATCATAGTTTCATTTCTGTTTTTGTGTTCTATAGACTCATGATCAAACACACTTGTCTTGTTGATGTCTAGAAACAGATGTGCATAAAGGGCTGCAATAAACTCTTGAATGCTCAAGTGAACAAAGCAGTACATGGTACCAAGAACGATCCCTGTTTCCTCCTTAAAGATCTGGGTACACATGCCTGAGTACACTGATGCCTTATAGACGTCAAGACCACAGGCTTCCAGGTCTGTGTCATAGAAGATCAGGTTGTTTCTTTTCAGATGATGAAATGCCAGTTTCCCCAGTGAAAGGATGGCATCTTTATCCCAGGAAACATCTAGTGTGTATTCTCCATCATACTTTCGGCGGCTCTGCTGGATCTGAAAGCGGAGAAAGTGTGTGTACATTTGTGTCAGAGTCTTGGGAGTGTCTTCAGTGTTTGATTCCTGCAGTGTTTTAGAGATCTCATCAGCCTGAGTGTTTCTCACATCATTATTTCTCTTCTCCTCCAGAATGTTCTGGAGAACAGTGGCTGAAATCCAGCAGAAGACTGGGATGTGGCACATGATAAAGAGACTCTTTGATTGTTTAACATGATCTATGATTGTGTTGGCTTGAATATCATCCTTGAATCTTTTTTTGAAGTACTCTTGCTTCTGTGTGTCGCTGAATCCTCGTATCTCTGTCAGCCGGTCGATACAGTCAGGAGGAATCTTACTGGCAGCTGCTGGTCTGCTGGTGATCCAGACGAGAGCAGAAGGAAGCAAATTTCCCTTCATGAGGTTAGTTAGGAGAACATCCAGAGAGGCTGGTGACGATACATCACGCCACGTCTCATTACAATCAAACTTCAGAGGAAGGCGACATTCGTCCAGTCCATCAAGGATGAACAGCACTTTGAACTGATTCCTTCTTGTAAGGTTCAGTCCTTTTGTCTCTGGGAAAAACTGAGTTATAAGGTCCATCAAACTTAGTTTTTCTTTCTCCTTTAAGTTCATCTCTCTGAATGGAAGAGGAAATATGAAGCTGATATCTTGATTTTCTTTTCCTTCAGCCCAGTCCAGAACAAACTTTTGCACAGAGACTGATTTCCCAATGCCAGCGACTCCTTTTGTCAGTACAGTTCGGATCCCCTTGTCTTGTTCAGGCGCTTCAAACAAATGTGTGCATTCAACCTGTACCTCTTGTGCTTCATGACGTCTGGAAGCAACTTCAATCTGTCTCACCTCATGTTCAGTATTGACCTGTTCACTGCCACCCTGAGTGATGTAGAGATCTGTGTAGATGTTATTCAGGAGTGTGGAGTCACCTTGCTTTGCCATTCCTTCAAACACACATTGATACTTCTTCTTTAGGCCACATTTCAGCTGATGAATGAGGAACAGCTCATCTAAACACAGGAACAGGAAATAGATAGTTTTAGTCTTCATTTTCTCTCCTACATTTATAAGAGACAATCAGACAGATGATGACGAGTCTCTTGCCTTCTAGAGCATCAGCAGCTTCATCTTGCTTCATCTCTCTCAGGTAATGTAGTGTGAGATCAAGAGCTGCTGATTTGATACTGGATCTGTTCTCATTAAAGTCCTTCACAAAGTGTTGTGTGTTCTCATGTTGTAATATTTTCTTTAACTTCTCCAGCTCATTCTTCAGAAATGTGATTATTTTCCTCTCAAGATCCTACAAACAAAAGTGAAAAGACAGAATAACAGAATTTAAGCCAAATTGTACATCTACGTTTGGTCAACACTATTTATTAAATAATCATAATACTGTACATGTGCATGAAAAAAAATCCAGTTAAAAGAATAACATGCTAACCAAGTTGTGCTAAAATGTGTTTAAAAGGAGAAAAAAAGAGAGTAATTAAATTTTTTTGTACAATAACATATTTGTTTGCAACATTTTTAAAAATGTGTTTTCCTACCTGGAAGATCCCAAGAAGATTGTCTTTGAAATTTTTCTTGGGATCAAAACAAAGGTTCCTGTGAGTCTGAAGGTCTGAGTCTAATGTCTCATATTGAAGCCTGTAATCACATTAGTAAATTAAAATACTAACTGATATTTTACAGAAAGAGAAATAAGCATTAGCTGTGAAAACTCAAATGTTTGATCTAAGCATGTTTCATGATTGGTTTTCACAAATACAACTTTTAAACACAGTCAACGTGTGACAAAAAATGAGCAAAACAAAATACCTTTCTATAGATGATGGTGTTTTCTCACTTAAGTCTGGTCCTCCTCCTTTAGAGCAATCACTCTTCAGAGACACAGAGCTGGACACATGTGAGCCTGATCTTACACTGATGACACAAAGAACATTAGAAAAGGTTTAATGTTGCAAATAGTAATTAAATGCAGTATTGCTGTGCATTTGTTTATTAGTAACTGTGGTTGATGAATGGACATGTTTAGTTGAATGATTTATTTTCCATAGTGAAATTATGCCTCCTTGTGGCTGACTGTGTAACCGTGTTACAGGAGTGAGTTTCATAAATCCCCTTACACAGTCAAGTTCAATCACCTTCACCACCTGAAACTCATACATTATAGCATATTATAATGTAACTTATTAGGCCTATATTTATAGAATAGCAAAGTATGCCTAATCAATCATTGTACCACATAGGCTAGATATATGAAGGCTATCATGATCATTTTGCCAACAATGTATATATATATATATATATATATATATATTTTAAATTAATTTTGTTTTTAATTTCAACAAATAAAACGTTCAAAACTCATCGGCTTAGACTGCATTTGAAGAAAAATTAACACAACAAAATTCAATAGAATTACACTTCTATAATGTTCTTTCAAGTGCAAAAAATAATATTTTTTTTATTTTGTAGTTTTTCTTATCATAGCCTACAAATGTCTAGCCTGGCTCAACCAGACTCTAGTACATTTCATTTGTAACATTTGTACATTTCATTACCTTAATTATGGTCTTCAAAGTATGTGTTTGTACATTTTTATATGGCATTTAGTAGTTTTTTTTTATTATTAAAAAATTAACCATTAACGACATCTAAAACTGAAAATCAAATTATGGTCTTCAAAGTATGGGTTTTCACATTTTTATTTATGACAATTATTTAAAAAAAAAATTACAACCAATTTGTATGATTTACAACATGTAAAACTGACACACCAACCTCCTGCACGAGTGCACAAAGGGGCTCAAAATGTTCTATTCATCACAAGAATCAGTAAATTTACTGTTGGGAATCTGAGCTACTGACATGACTCCTGAACGGATCTTCAACAATAGTTTAGCAGCTAGGACTCGGGGCTTCCGAACACCAGGCTAAAGCGTCCGTCCAAAATGTCACGGTCATCGTGCACACCGAGCTGCCCAGCCCAGCACAAACTTCCAACCTTTCTGCCTCCTTCACGTGGTCCTCCGTTGTGCAACAAGAGGTGAGACGACAACAGTCCGGCTTTATATTCTGTATATTTGGCATTTTTTTTCCAACAACGGACCGAGCTTTTCTCACGTCTTTCTCCGCTGCCATTACTGAACTCAAACTGACGCGCTTACATCAACGTCATCGTTCTCAGCCACTCCCTCTATTCGCTGATTGGTCCTACAAAAAATTGATTTCTGGAAACCTAAGGATATACAGCAGTCCCAGACGTAGTACTGAAGGAGAATGAAATTGAGCGGAAGTGCGTAGGAGGGCGCAGCCAGGCTAACAAATGTCTTCGGAAATTCCTTTTCCTCGATTTACTGAAGCCTAGATGTAAAACACATGTCATTTGGAGCTGCACAGCCGTGTATATATCTATGCTGCATATTACTATGCTGTCTGACTCGCTCATGGCACGAGCGCCTCTAACCTGCGACCAATGAGACAACTCTACGTTATTGCATGTCAGAGCCCGCCAAAGTCCCCGAATTTTCCATTATAGCAGGTCTTCATTCATAGTCTGTCTGACATATATTAGAAGATGTGTCTGTCATGGATTTGCACTGAACTGATTCTCAAAAATACGGAACAAAGTGCGTTCCCTATCAGTTCAATACGGAACAAGACTTTTATGTGTACGGAATGATTCCGTATTATACGGAACGGTTGGCGACCATAAATACAACCCTATAATTTAATGTAAACAACACAAAATACCTTTTCTTAGATGATGGTGTTTTCTCACTGAAGTTTGGTCCTCCTCCACCTTTAGACCAATCACTCTTCAGAGAC